GTTGAGAGAGGGGAAGCTCGAGGACAGTCCTGTTTGTCGGAAACCTGTTCATTCTGCTATGTTCGTGAGACCTTTCACTTCTCCGGTCTGGGTTTCTCGCCTGGCTCACCTCAAGGCATCCATTTCTCTCATTTTTATCCTTGAATCCCTCCAACTTTGCTCATTATGTAATGTTTTGAAAGTTATGATAAAAATTACTCTGTCTAACCTCTTGCATTGTCTGCTGCCAACGTGATAAAAAATTATTTCTGCCAACCAGAAACTCCACCATGATTGCATTGGGGTTGGATTTCATGTGTACAGCCTGTGTTTTGCTTGCTTGTCTATGTTATTTTCACTCCCCTTTTTAAATCAAATTCCTCTTTTGCCTTTTTATGAAGAAGCAGTGTACAGAAGCAAAACCTCGTCTCTGCTGTTGTCTTTGATTAATTTGAGCCAGAATACTTTCCACTGTCTTCTTGGCACTTTGGGGTTTCTTAATGCTGGTATGTCGATGGACTCTGCAAATGGAAATTTTGAAGCCTGTATCAGTCGTGAAGGCCACATGTACCTGTTGTGAAAATGTGAAGCTGTATTTCTGAACCTGAAATAAATGGTAACATTTGAAGGACTCCCCCCTCCTCATTTTTGTATGTATTTGAGTCATTTCTGTGCATAACAGTAAAGATCTGAGACTTGTAAATATTTCTAACTCTTTTGATCGAATTGGCCTAGAATTACCAACGTGGAGAATAACATTTGGCATTACTGTCATTAATTCGGGGAAGAACGAGGTTTTTAAAGGGAGCAGCAAATGGGAAAAGTCAAAGGCAGGAGAATGGGGGACCTTTGTCCCTGACTTGAAGTCATTGTTGGACTAGATTCGAGAAGGGCCCAAACCTTCGACAGCTGGAGGGTGTGACGTGACACCTGCCAGGAGGCACTGTGGCATTTTGCTATTGCAAAGGAGTGTTCATGGAAAACCCTCGGAAGCAGAGGGAAGAAGAATACTTTGCCCATACGTTAGATCCACAAAAGGCATTTCTTACAGAAAATACTGAGTTCCTGACTCAATAGTTGGCCTCCATCGTTTACTCATTGGGGATTAAGGGGACAAGTTAACCCCTTTCCATTTCCCCAATGTTAGGAGAATGGAAGGAAGAGCATTCAGTAGTTACACACATCCTTGTCCTCCTGTGTTTCCAGAGAATAAAGAAAGACTCATCGTTAAGAGTTTTGAGAATTGGTCCCTCTCCCACACGTGGATCCATCGCTGCCTTCAAAGGCAGCTGCTTACTGGAGAGAGAGTCAGGATGAGAGCCGTGTTGTGCATATGTGTGGGGTGCTGTGCAGGTGAGGGGGGGAGCGTGTTTTACTGTATGATTCTTCATTCAGAATAGTTTCTAATAGAAATTACCAAAACCAAGGGACCTTAGTGTAACTATGTGACAGATTTCCATTTTTATTTTTAAAATAGTACTGGCACCTGTGTAAATATCTTCTCAATTAGTTCTCCAGAATCGTGTTTTTCTGTGGGAATCTTTGAATTGCTGAGAAACTCACCAGATGTTTGGGTGAGATGGCTGTGGTGCCCTCCTTCCTGGTACAACCCACACCTACCACGGTCCCTCTGAAGACCCTGTGTGGTGATCTTTCACACTGCGATGCCTAATAACTAGAATACGTGCAAGAGATGTTGGCGCATGTTTCCCAGAGTGCATTCCATGAGGTTTTAATGTTTTACACACACATGGGTTTCTTGGTTAAATGTACCTGGGAAAGGATGACTGAAAATTCTATTATTTTTTTATTATTATTCTTTACTGGAAGACTGTACAGAAGCGTTAATATCAGGTTGCATCGTGAGCCTCCAGGAGAGGGTTTGTGCTCCATGTTTCTCAGACTCACTTGGCCGCTGATGCTCTGTTCATGGAGCATTTCCCAGGCTGGCGGGAAAAGGCACTGGGTGTGACCATCCCAGCAGAGACGGTCACCTGTGAGAGCAGCCAGCGCTCCCAGCTTAGGACAGTCCTACTGGAGCTCTGGTGCTTTGTCACAGGAGTGTTTGGACCTGAGCAGGAAGGTCACCTGGGAACAGGCGGCATGAAGCAGTTTGGAGAGGTGCACACAGTGAGTCTTAGCGAGCCTTGTGGAGGAGACAGATCATTTTCAAGACCTTTTCTCTCTCGCTCTCCAAACAAGAGCTCCTTCAAAAATTCCATCACCCCCATTTTATTCTCAGAAAGGAAAGGCTCGGGCGTGATTTCAAATAAAAGAGCATCAGAGAAGAATTGAGAAGGATGCCTATTTGCATGGCCTTTCTTGTCCCTCTTGCCCAAGACTTCAGGCTCCCTGCTGCTCTAGGATGTTAAGTTCCCTGAATGATGGGCCAAGAAAGCAAGCAGAGAAGGTTTTGGGAGATTGTGACAGAAAAGAAAAATGTCCTGAGGAAGACCTTGCCAGGGATCTTGCCACAGGAGTGTCACCGTGAGGCCGGATGGCAGCACTGAGGCAGATCCCAGAGAAATGGGGTGACTCATCACTCTCATTGATACTTGAGTCTTTTCTGTATGAATTATGCCGTGTTCCATACTCAGTTTTTCC